TTTTGAGTAATTATTTGTTCAATTTAAAATAATTTTACATACTGATCTTTTTCTTTCATCTTTTATCTATTATTTGTATATGATTAGAATCGAATATTTTCATTTTTTATTATTAAAAATTAAGAAATACGAAAGTGCTAAAAAATGGGTAATATGCCACTATGCAGGTAATAATATGCCACAAAAAAATGCCAAGTATAATAATTATTTTGTTTTTTTATTGCAAGAACACATTATTAATGACTTTTATGAACATTTAACAAAATTGAAGGACTCTTCTTATACAAAATAAATAACAATAAATAAAGGGCAAAGTAAGAGTCAACACATTTCTTTAAAAAAGTTATACAACAATTAAAAGAATAAAATATAAATATAGAAAAGTAAAATAGAAGAACATATATAATAAAAAATAATAAAAATAAAATAAAAAATCATTAAAAACTCAGTGTTACAAGTTTCAGCTACCGGATTGAGCCCTCTTCAGACATTAAACATATCGAAAAAAACGGTAGTACAAAATAATTATTACAAATATTCACAAAGTATTCGCAGTTCGGGTGAGTCTTAAGACTTATAGAACTTAAGACTTATAGACTCGACATTATTCACATATGATTGATCAATCAAAAATATATCATATCTCTTGAAAAAGTTCTAGTTGATAAAAAAGATGAAAAAAATTCTTATGAAAAAGTAAACGCAAATAAATTAATGGAATTCTGATAAGAAATAAAAACTCACCAAAAAACATGTGTAAATTATTCAAACAAATGTGTCCATATAAGTACAATGAATAGTCCTTGAAATATATAAAAACAAGTGGAACACAGATGTGAAAAACATTGTGTATCGATTATTGTGCACGCTCGCTGATACGGACTGAGAAAAGAGACGAACCGTCAGTATTGTTTGAATAATTTACATATGTTTTTTGATGAGTTTTTATTCCTATATTTCTTATTATAGACAAAAAATTAACAAAAAAATATTGTATTTATATGCATGAAATTGTACAATATTTTCTGTAAAAATTTGTTCATTAATATAATATTAGACATTAGAACGCTAGTTAGAAAAGAACTCAGAAAAGAATTTTCCGTAATGTCAAAAAAAATGAAAGTAAAGGACAATATTGGAAAATAAAGGACAAAATTGAGTTTTGAAAAAACAAATAAATTTAAAGTTCCAATAATCAAGAAAATTTAATCCATTAAAACAAATTCAAAAATTGTATTCTCTATTTAGAATTTTGAGTTGAGCAATAAATTAATATAATATAATAAGCAAATAAACATTTAAATTTATTTATTAAGCATTTATCGATACGAATATCCTGTCACAACGAAATTATACAGAAAAACATTTGTTTATAGCGCCCTAACCTATATATTAGAGAAAATGACTATATTTTATCTTCTCAGTAAACGAGATTGTATTACAATGGATTAAAATTTTTTTAATGCGTACTTTAAATCCATGAAAATGGATTAAAGGGATTGAAATGGATTAGATCCGAGCTGACACTAGTTTAATATTTAAAAAAAAACATTCATATTTAAAGGTTACAAATTTTATTCCTAAGACACTTATAATAATTATATCTGATATTAACTACTTCAAATTGGTATTAAAAAACGTATCTTAGTGAGATTTAAACCTGGGACTTCTGGATTGGACATATAAATCTTCTACGTTACCCGCTACACCACTTCTTCAATTAGTAAATATGTTATTCATTCTCTACTTCAATTACAACCAGCTAAACCAACTAAAGTGCAGGAAATTACCCAGCAAACGAAAATGGATTGAAATGGATTGGAAATCTTTAATCCATCTGAATTTGTTTTTTAAATCCATAAAAATTTGAAGAAAATTCATTTTAAGAAAATGGGCCATTAAAAGAAAAACTTTTTTTTATTCAATTGGATTAAAAAACTACATTTTCTATTCAGAATTTTGAATTTAAGCAGTATTTACAATGCATAGAAATAGCTTATATTATTTTTAAACTCAATTGTATTGAAAAACTGCATTTCTTATTCAGAATTTTAAATTAAGCAGTATTCACAATGCACAGAAATGGCCGATATTATTTTTAAATTCAAACTGAATTGAAAAATTGGATTTCCTATTTTAAATTGAGCAGTATTCACAATGTACGCAAAATACTATAATATTATTTTTATATTAAAAAGCATAGAAATATACTCCATATCATTCCTATAAATAAAAATGCTTTAATGATTGTAAAGGAATAAATATTTGTTTTATGCAATTCTTATAAATGAATAAAAATGCATTCAGAATTGAAAAGGTTTATTTTAATCAGTATTTTAACATTTATGAATCTGTATTTCTGAAAATCTGAATCCATTTTAATCCATTTCAATCCATTCCCGTTTGCTGGGCTAACATAAATAATGGCATATTGCCCCAAGACGCCATTTCATCTTATAATGAACTTGTACAATACGGCTGTTAAAAAAATAAATCAACGATGTACTAAATATTTTCATTTTAACCTACATTAATATATTAACAAGCTAATCGAGTTAAATATTGTAAAATATTTAAATAATAACTTACATAAAGCACTATATTATGAAAGTTATAAGAAGCACATTTTCGTATGCCATTACCGTTATATTTACCTCAAAACAATACTGTTGCCAGAAAATTCTTGATACTTATGCAACACGTTAAGCACACGATTGTAAATAATTTTGTGGTACTAACGTAAACGCTGCTAATCGGTATTATTATGTTAAACACCCCTGGAGAATATGCCACTCGTTGTGTAGAGTAACTGGCGTATTATCCGCAGTTACCCTACTAACTGTAAGAGCATCTGGTCAAATACCGGTCTCTTTTCTATTCCTAAACAAAGTTTGGCATCTAGAGAACAAGTTTTATGCGTTACCGGCCTCAATTCATGCGCATCCTTTAACTAGCATATAAAAGCCTGATCTACATAAGATGCAGAACGCGCGTCGCAAGTCGCAAAATTAGAAATTAACTTAACGTACTTTAATTATAATATGGTTGTAGGACGCAGAAAGCAGAACGCAGAGAGTTGGGTAAACTTCAACTTTCGCGTCCTGCATCTTGCGTATTGTGGTCTGCGAACAATTACAATCTAAAATACATTTTACTTGCAACCTGCGATCAGCGTTCTATGTCTTATGTAGATCGGGCTTATAACTTTAAAATTCACCTCTGGGTCACAAATGACCTAACGTGTGTATAGGGTGTACACTTTTTCTAATTAAAAAATTTTTATTTTTTTTTCTTTATTTTTAACTAATTCTTATATTGCAGAATAAATTATTAAAGTTTTAGTATATTCTTATATTTCGTGAATTATTAAAAAAAAAATTTAACCCTAAATAACATATTAGTACCTTAATGAACATGTTTGGTGCCCTTGTTCTAAATGTTGTCAGTAATATTATATATTATATTGTCTGTAATGTTAAAGACCATTTTCTTAATAAATTATAAGTTTTTTTCAACACAATAGCAATAATAAAATGCACTGTTTAAAATGTAAATGCAATATATCCTCAATGTATAGCCTATAGTATGTATAGCATATTAAAAAAAACATCATTTTCAGGTTATTCAATAACTAAACTTTTTGGACAGCTGACACTTGAACTATATATCGTTTTTGTGGTTTAGAATATAAATTTTAAGATATTGAACTATATTTTTCCATTAAACATTTTTGTTTCAGAGTTTTAGATTTTTATATAAAATAGTGCATTTTTCTCATTTCGTTAACTATATTTAGTTATAACAATTTATCTATAATTTGTCATGAATATACATATAATTGCACAATTAGAAAGTATGATATATACATGTAATATTAATAATTTAATACATACGTTTGATCATTTGTGTCCTGGATTAATTTTCATTATTTTTACAAGTATATATAAATTATTAAACAATTTTTACATATATTATGACATCTTTAATAATTTATTTATACTTGTACAAGTGATGAAAATTAATTCAGAACACGAATGATCGAACATGTGTATTAAGGGTGCCAAAAACTAAGATGTGTACTAAGGGTTAATATACATTTAATGCGCAACTATTTTTACTTTATTATACTATTTGCTTAAAATCAAGAGGTAAAAAATTAAAGTTACAAGATCTATAATTGTATTTTTATTAGATAGGATAATTTTCTCAAGGATCGATTATTTAAGCTCAAATCTTTAAAAGTAAAAAATTATATAGGCTTGATCCTTCAAGTATAGGGTCGCTCGAGACGTTCGCATCCATATAAAAACTAACGCTAATACAATTAGACTGTGGTCGAAGATATAATCTCATCACAGAATCTCCGACGGAAGTGATTCATATTATCCGATAGAAAGACTAAAGGAGACATGCACGAAATAATAAATTGCCGGGATTATATCCAGAGGTGTAGCGAGGGTTTGTTGCGCCCTTCCGACAAGAAAATATATTGGCGCTCCTCTTCCCTGAGAAAATTCTTTCCTACAATAATTATAACTTTACTGCAGTATAATGCAAGATACAAGATAAAAAAAATGTCTTCTATACATTTAAACATTGGTATATTA